AGTTTATAATGGTCTCTATATCCATGAATGAGTGAGATCATGTGGCCCTTTTCCTTCATTGACTGGCTTATTTCACTTAGCATAATGCTCTCCAGTTCCATCCATGCTGTTGCAAATGGTAAGAGTTCCTTCTTTTTTACAGCAGCATAGTATTCCATCGTGTAGATGTACCACAGTTTTCTAATCCATTCATCTACATATCCCAAGAAACCAGAAACACCAATCAGAAAGGATATATGCACCCCTATGTTCATAGCAGCACAATTCACCATAGCTAAGATCTGGAAACAATGATTCTCTTTCATTGTTGATGTTTCTATCTCTCTCTCCCTCTCCCTTCCTCTCTGAAGCAATAAAAATATATTTTAAAAAAAAGATTTATGACTCCTTCTAGAACCCTTCACTGAGCATTTAAGCACTAAGCACAGGTCTCCAAAGGGATGTGCAAGGAGTCACACATAATAAATAAATAAATAAATAAATAAAAAATTAAAAAGTGAGTTGCAGACATCATAACTTTTCATAACTAATACTTTGCACCATATTTCGTGTGTGTGTGTGTAAAGTAGTAACATTCTTTTATTCAACAAATAATTACTGGGCACTCACTGTATGTCAGGCTCTCTGCAAGGCACTGGGAATATGATGAAAAAGAGGAAACAGATCCTGATCTCAAGGAGTCTCTAGTGGCAGAGGTGTGTGGAGTGTTGTTGCATATTTCAGAAGTTTGTTCCTTTGTGCCAGGTACTGTCCTGTAATTTGTTTTTTCATTCACTTGTTGGTGACAATTGTTGTGCATAATATTTCATCATTAAATACTGTATTTCATTATTAAATACATAAACTGCATTATTAAATACATGCATTTCCTCAGAATAAGAACAATATCCTATAAAACTACAAAACCATTATCACATATTCTGTACTAGCAAGCAAAAACCATATTCACTTTAAGATTAGCTTTTGTAACTTTTCTTTAAAAACCAGGATCCAATCAAAGGTACATTTTCTCTTTCATGACATTGACTTTTTTTACATTGACTCTTAAAGAGCCCAAGGTAGGATTCTAGTACAGTGTTCTACAGTCTGTATTTGTCTGGTTGTTTTCTCATGGTGTTATTTAACTTGTCCCTCTAGTCCAGTGGTTCTCAACCTTCTGGCCCTTTAAATACAGTTCCTCATGTTGAGACCCAACCACAAATTTATTTTCGTTGCTACTTCATAACTGTAATGTTGCTACTGTTATGAATCGTCATGTAAATATCTGATATGCAGGATGGTCTTAGGCGACCCCTGTGAAAGGGTCATTCGGACGCCAAAGGGGTCGCGACCCACAGGTTGAGAACCGCTGCTCTAGTCCCTGTATTTCCTGTAAATGTTAAGAGTCCAGAGGCTTGATTTGATTCATTTGTTTTTATTGATTTTTAGAGAGGGGAGGGGAGAGGGATAGAGATAGATACTTCGATAAGAAACATCGATTGGCTGCCTCCTGCACGCCCCCTATTGGGGATTGAGCCTACAACCTGGGCATGTGCCCTGACCCAGAATGGAACCTGAGACCTCTTAGTTCATGGTCCACGTTCAACACTGAGCCACACCAGCCAGGGGAAGAAATTTAAAGAGAACTGGATGATGTTATGAGAGTTGATGACATAGGGAGTAGAGATTTCAATACCACAAATCATATGGAAATCCTAGGTAGGATCCTGAAACTATCTTTCTCCAAGTCTTGGTAAATATTTGATGTTTCCAATGAAAATCCTTACTAACTGGCTTCACAGTTAGCTTTCATCAAAAATCTAAATTGAATTTTTAAAATACAGAAAAATCAATGCTTTCTCACCCTATTTGTTCCATTATTTTTACATCCTTGCTTTTAATGAGCAGATTAAAAGCATGACGAACATAGAATGTTGTGCTCAATTTCCCATAAACTCTAATTGAAAGTTTAACACACTATTTTATTAGCAAGAAGTAAATTAAGCAGTAGCTATAAATGTTTAATACAGAATTGCCCAGCAGTTTTAGTAATAAACCAAATGAAATTTAATCAAGAATTACTGGATTATTTTAAGTCTATCATGTCTCATCCTAACTGGTTTGGCTCAATGGATAGAGTGTCAACCTGCGGACCAACGGGTCCCGAGTTCAATTCCTGTCAAAGGCACGTACCTCAGTTGCAGGCACCTCCCCAGCCCCGGCCCTGGTCAGGGCTGATGCAGGAGGCAAACAATCGATGTGTTTCTCTCTGTCTTTCCCTCTCTCTTCCAATCTCCCTAAAAATCAATGGAAAAATATCCTCGGGTGAGGATTAACAACAACAAAAGTCTATCATGTCTCATCAGATAACTAGAATTGCTCTTTCAAGCCTTAGAATGGCATAAATAATATACTGACGGTACGAAAGAACAACAAAAAAAGACCTTTCTTGTTTTTATTAATCCAAAGATCCATGCTTGTGGCTTGGAGGTCACTAACCCGTCGTCACTTCAGGAGTGAATGTGCTAATTTTTAGTAATTAGATTGAGAAGAGTCCCTGTGGTAATGTAGGAATCGGAAGCTGTTGATCAGTGCCATTAAGATAGTATTTATATTAGGATTCTTGGTTAAAAGTGATAGAATTCCATCCAAAATTAATTTTAACAACAACAACAAAAAATCAACTGGCTTCGGCATTTGCTTGGCTTTGGACATGTATATGGATAGCTTCAGGTATGGTTGAAGCCAGGCACTCAAATGTTAGCAGAATGGTGTCTGCCTACTTCCTCGTGTTAGCTCTGCTTTCTCTGTGACTTCATTTTGCAGAGGATTTTCCCTGTATGGTGGACAAAGGAGATATTTTCCTCCTTATAAGAGATGCTCTTTTGATACCACAGGTAAGGCCACGTTAAATCCTTTTCATTTTGCACATGCAAACCCAAGGCCCAGATAACCTGCTAAATGCCATTCTACAATTTAGTGATGAGGGAACAAATGGTAATATTCTATAACACACAACTTTTTTTGTTTACCCTACTGATACAGTACCAATCACCTCCTGAATTTACATACTGTATTCTTATAAATTCTAGAGAAAAACATCTACAGTATTTTCTTATTGCAAAGTTACTAATATTCCAAAAAACAAAGAACCTTAAATATCACTGACTCTCCTGTTGTAATAATGCAAGGTCTTCACTCTCCTACAATCTTCGGTCACCATGATCTTACCTAGAGCTAATTGTATAGGCCAGTGGTCGGCAAACTCATTAGTCAACAGAGCCAAATATCAACAGCACTTCTCCAAAATAGACTCGCCCAGGCCGAAAACCGACTTCTGCGCATGGGCCACGAAGTTTCAATCGCACTGTACGTGAGCCCGCACGTGGTATTTTGTGGAAGAGCCACACTGAAGGGGCCAAAGAGCCGCATGTGGCTCGTGAGCCGCAGTTTGCCGACCACGGGTATAGGCAGCTATTTCACTCTTCTAGTGAAAACTTTTTGTTCAGAGATACCCGACAATGTTCCCAATATTCCATTTGAACATTCTGCCAAGCTCTTCGGGTTTTCAAAGACCAGTGAGCATCTTTTATTCTCAGCCATCAGCAAAAATAAAAGGCCCTTTGGCAAAATCTTTTTAATTGCTTAACCTTGAAGTGCTTGGTACCAGACCTGGAACTTGTCATCACCAGGAATCACTCCACCTCTGATATCTTTTTGTTTTAATGTATTGATTGATTTCAGAGAGAGGAAGAAATTAAAACATCAATGATGAAGAGAGAATCATCAATTGGCTGCTTCCTGCATGCCCCCTATTGGGGATCGAGCCTGAAACCCGGGAATCAAATGGTGATACCCTAGTTCATGGGTGGATGCTCAACCAGTGAGCCACAGCAGCTGGGCTACCTCTAGTATCTTAATACCAGAGTCTTAATGACTTTAAACTGGCTTTCTAACACTTTTTATTTCAACCATTTCCTTCGTGTTACTTTCACATGCCATGACTCCTGTTAGTTTGGGTCTGCAGAGAAGCAGATGCTAAGACAAAATTAGACAGGTAAAAGGTTTTCAGAGAAGGGAGCAGAAGGCATGAGGTACTTCAGGCTGTGACTGCAGGACTCTATGGGAGGAGAGAGAGGAGACTGGATAGGAAGTTCTGGACCACAGCAAAATTCCAAGAAAGCTTTAGCCAGTACAAGAGGGAGGGAGTCCTTGAGCCAGAGTTCTGGGTGTCACCAGACAGCTAGAAACTGTTTGCTATTTGGCATGAAACGTGGAATTAGGTCCACTACTTCAAGATTGACAGCTTTTCTTACATGCCAGTAGTGGCAGTCTTCACCATGCTTAATCATTGCCTGGGAACAGCCTGTAGGAGGTGCAGCCTGGGCACAAGCACAGCGGTGGATTCAGTGGGGGAAGAAGCTGGAGACATCAGTCAACTATGCTCCGACCAACAGACTTGGCCACGCCCTACTTCCGTCATACCTGAAAGACATTGACTATCAGACTAACTTCTCATGTGCACAGACCTAACGGCTCATCTTAATACACGACTTTTATTCATCTAATCATCCACAGTCC